TACTGTAATGGAATTAATTTTGCCCTTGATTTGCAATGTTGTATTGGTACACTTGTAAATGTAAGCCACCTGTTTCAGCTCTGTATCCTCAATCACCAAGTTGGAAACATTCTCTTGATTTTCCTGTTAAAAGAGAAGGTTTTTTCAGAAATCTCATCACTAAGCACATACCACCAAAAATAACGGACGCTGTCCAAAACATGTTCTTTCCAGCTAAGCCAGAATCCTACACTCATTTGTGCTCCCTGTTTAAATTTCTGGTCCCCATCCTTGTTCCCAACCCTGTTGTTTTAACTCACCACTCTCCACTTCTTGCCCTCCAGTTCCAGTAGAGCTGGCTCCTTCTTTGCAGCTGGTTTGGGTGAGGGACTGACTCCTGGTTTAGGTGCAGAGAATGGTTTGGGGCCACTGCGAACAGGACCGGTCTGAGTTTTCAAGGCGGGGTTTTTGTGAGTCTTCATGTCATCAGATACATGTTTCAGGGCTGTAAGAGAACAGCAGTTAATTTCTTCTGTTCTTCATACCAGGGTTTCAGGCTGAGACAATAACAATTTCTGTTATCCAGAATTAAAACTGATCCTCAACAAAAAACGTACAGCCAAACACTAAAGCCTAAGCGGTACTCTTGCAAATAGTTTTACAGAAGTACTTTCACAATATATCTCTTTCCTCCTAAGGCTAAATTAAATTACATGGCCCACTCTAAAAACCAGGTTTGTTTTTTTTTTCCCCCTCTCATCTTAAAAATTATGATTATATGGGTGTAGATGATTCTTAAGTGAAATGATATCAGAATATTAGTGATGGTTCCTGACTCAGCAGGCACTCAACATATACTAATGTTTTGAGAGAGGAAAAAGTTTAACCTTGTTAAACAAGTTACTTAACAATCCACATTCTATACATAATATAAAATCAATAGCATTTAAGGAAAACAAGGTGAACCCCAGAATCATAAAATCTTAGAATTACCAGGGACTTAAACATCAATAAACTCCCTCCTATTAATTAAAAAAAAAAAAAAGGGGGGGGGGGAGGGGAGCAAGAGTATACAGTGGGAGGGAAAGGGAAAGCATATAAATGCACAGAAAAAGATTTAAAAAGATAACCAAACATATCATCAAAATATATAAATACGTTAAGAATCAGGCTGCTAATCTCACGGTTAGCAGTTTGAAACTACCAGCTGTTCCGCGAGAGACAGATGAGGCTTTCTGCTTCCGTATAGATTTACAGCCTTGGAGACCCTTTACCGGGTCGCTATGAGTTGGAACTGACTCCACAGCACATAACAACAACAACATGAACCATTTTAAAAACAATGCTAAGGTGAAAAACCAGTATATAATACCTAAGAAAACATGGTAAAAACAGAAATCGCTCCCACGTGTAATCCTACTGCACCCACCCCTATCCACACACACGATCAGTGTCACATTTGAAACTCCTAACATTTCTTTTTCATAGTTTTTAATTGGCTATAATTATATGTAACAAATTTATTTTAATTCACAATAAAATTTTTCTTATGTTGACTTGGTTTCTAAAAATATGTTTCTTTTCTAAGGGAAAAGATTCTACAGCCTTCCTTTGTAGGTTGATGTAGACCTTGCTCTTGAATGTGGCCTAATTCACCCAATACTAAAAGGCCACTACTAAGTCATTGCTGTAGCTTAGGTAGATGTTTTGTTGCTGTAGATAAACATGGTTCACTGTAGAAAAAAAAACCCAAGTGTAATGGCTATATATATATAAAAAGAGGACAAGACATAGTGATTCTCTTACTGTTAAACTTTAATGCAGAAAACGTATTTGGTACTTTAGGTATTTTATGGACGTAATTCCTAGAAGAGGGTCACAATACTTTTTAACCTTCTAGGCCCAGAGTTCAAAGAGGACAGTACAATTTAGACTTCTGCCAGCAGTGTATAAGGTACCTAGTTTCTTTACACTAACATTGGGTAATTCTTATGCAAATATTATATGTAACTACTAGATATCCTGAGGAAGTTCCAGCCCCTCACCTAATGTTCCAATCACAGAACTTCACAAAAAGACCACTGTGGTAACCTGAAGAAAGCTCTGATGAAACTACGAGCACAACAGCTTGGCACAATTGGGTACTCTAAAGATGCCAAGATGCCACTTAATGTTAAACCACTCTCCCACTGGACAGAGAGCAGTCACAAAATGCAATCACCCATTTTCAGTTTCCATTTAAGCCAGCTTTGCTCTCCCTTTGGGTAGCTTAAAGAAACATGACTCCCCAAATTATGACACACAAGCCATAGTTCTAGTACACAGACTAATTATTGTGTCTCTGGTTGGTAAGGCCTGGCCCAATTAACTTGGTGTACTAACTCTTCTTGCCAATGTATTCACTTACCATGTGTGATGCTCTCCCCCTGATTAATCTGGGCAAACAGTGCTGAGCGTGAAGCGGAGTCCTCTGAGCCGGAAGTGGTGGGAACTGGTGGGGGAGGCGGGCCCGGTGGGGGGGGAGGAGGACCTGATCCAGCGGAGGGTCCAGATGGCAATCCACTCAGTTCTTTAGCTACAGGCCCCTGCAACAATAAGCACAGGTAACATAATTGTCCTCTCTCTTTCCAGCAGGAGGGCTCTCCCATGTGTCCAGGGTATACCAGCTATGGCCCCTGAGACAGTATTAATGCTCTCTACCCACACTTGAGTCCTGGTGTGGCAATGTGGGCTAATGCATCAGACTGCAAAGTCGTTTGAACTGCAAGGTTGGTGGTTCAAGCTCACCAGCTGCTCCTTGGAAACCCTATACAGGGTCACCGTGGGTCGGAATTGACTTGATAGCACTTAACAACAACGACCCACACTTAATAAACTTGGCTTTATTCCTTTTCATCCTTTCCCAAGATTCCAACTCTCGACTCCATTTCTCAGCTTTCATATCTACCCAATCCCACATTTCTAAAAACCGACTTTCCCGTCTCCTTTACCTAGTATGTTACCAGTGGCTCACTGACAATTTCCAAACTGATTTTATCTTCTCCCACCTGCACCCCTAACGTTGTCCTTTTTTCAGTAAAATTCCATCCAAGTTAGACCTTTTTGAGTCTTCCAAGTTCCTCAATCTCTTTAATTAAATTTTCCTATAGTCTTGGTTATATCTCCTGCAAATTCTTTTAACCCAGCCTCTAGCACCATGACCACTTCCATGACTTAGTGACATTTTTAAGGATAAATCTGATCATATTAATCAGTGCCATATTTACTCTGCTTTAGCAGTGCTTTTTGCCAATATCCTCATTTCCCCTCACTTCTCAGTCCCCTACACTTCTTCTAAATCCTAAGTACAGCTCTCAGGAGGAAAACTCTTTTCAAACTCTGTAGGCTATGGCCTTATTATAGCATTTAGCTTAGGAGTTTGCACTGAGGTTTTATATCTGTATCTTTAAGCCCCCTTAAAACTAGGGCAGTGTAACTCATTCATCTATGTTTCTCCTCTGCACCAGTCACGGTGCCTAATCCATGTTTACTGAAATTGAATAAAATTGACTATTTTTTCTCCTCAACCTTTTGCTTTCTTTACTCTGTTCTATTTCTATCTTTCCTTCTCCCCACCCCTTTCTTTCATTCTTTTTTGGGCAATGAGAGTACTAAAGCCTAAGAAACCTCTGGACCCTTATCCAGAAGGAATGAAGAAGGACTCACTCACCGTTTTACTCCAGGTCAGTCCAGTGGTATGGAACTCCTTAATGTAAGCCTGCAGTTCTGTCCATATACTCAAGTAAGCTTTGACCCAGTCCACATGCTTCTTATCCCTGCGAGAATTAAAGAACTTGTCAGAGGCCACCAAGGTACATTATAATAGTGGTTTCAGAATCCCTTCTTCCTCCTGCCCTATGGCATTGCTTAGAATCCACGATCATGATAGCTTTTCTGTTAACTGTAGAACTCATATAACAATAAAACTCTATCTGTGCTATACTACCCCTACTTAGACAAAATTTAATGAGGATAGGGTGCTAGTGGTATGATGGGTTATGTGCTGGGCAACTATACAAGGTCAGCAGTTCTAATCCACCAGCTGCTCCATGAGAGAAAGAAGAGGCTTTTTGCTCCCTAAAGATTTACAGCCTCAGAAACTATAGATGGTAGCTACGAGTTGGAACTGACTCAACAGCACACAATAACAACCATTAGGATAGGCACACAGGATTATATCATTCTCTTACAGCACTGCTTCGCAAACTTTTTTTTAAGTAGCATAACTGCTTTTCCAAGTACACCTTATACAGCAGCTAATATACACTAGGTTGTAACATATAACCCTAATATATAAACTGATAAAGGCAGACACCCTGGATAATGAAGCTATGATGGAATCTCTGCAGAACTCTAACTCTAGGGTTCCAGGAACTAAACAGCCTTGTAGCACAGTGCTTTATGTCAAAATATGCTCCCTACTTCCCCCTTCTACCCCTGAAAAGTAAATTTCCCATTGTTGTTAAGTACTGTGGAGTCAGTTCTGACTCATAGTGACCCTGTACAGGGTTTGCAAGGCTGTAAATCTTTACAGGAGCAGAATGCCTCATCTTTCTCTTACGGAACCGCTGGTAGTTTTAAACTGCTGACCTTGAGGTTAGCAGCCCGATTCGTAACCACTACGCTACCAGAGCTCCTTAAACTTCCCATTGTTGTTGTTGTTATGTGCCGTGGAGTCTGTTCCGACTCATAGCGACCCTGTACAGGGTTTCCGAGGCTGTAAATCTTTACGGGAGCAGAACGCCCCATCTTTCTCCCAAGGAGCAGCTGGTAGTTTCGAACTGCTGACCTTGCGGTTCGCAGCCCGATTCGTAACCACTACGCTACCAGAGCTCCTTAAACTTCCCATTAGGAGGAAGTAATTAGTATTACATCACAAAAATAGAACTGCACTATGGTTCAAGTTCCCTTTTCTTCTACATATTAGCTAGAAGATTTTAAGGCTATTTAGCCTAAGACCCAATTCTCTCAACTATAAAGTGATGGGGTAATGGCAGTAAATAATCAAAATACTGCAATGCTGAATTTATCATGTTGCTGGAAGGATCAAGAGGTTCTGGGACACACTTATAATCCTTGCACACAGTAGTCACTCAACAAATATTGATTTATGATGGATAGGAAGCAAGAGTTTGGCTAGCTAGGTAGCTACCTCACTCTCACTTTAACTAACTGCACAAATAATCAGTATTTTCTGAGTAAATCCTACTGAACCCTGTGCTACAGGGCAAAAAATTTTGCCTCAACTAAGGGACAAAATCTTTTATAAATGGGCAAACTAAAGGGCATAAGGAGTCCTGGTGTGGCACTACAGGACAAGCACTGAACTGCTAACCACAGGGTCAGCAGTTCAAACCTACCAGCTGCTCCTCAGAAAACCTATACAGGATGGCTGTGAGTTGGAACTGACTCAATGGCACTAACAACAGCAACGAAGTCTATGCGACCTTCAGCAAAATCTGCTGAGCATGAAGTGAGTTGTAAGTCTGAAGACCTCACCACCATAGATAAAGCAGAAGCACTTCCTGCTTACAAATGCCATTTCTATGAGCCAATGTTTATCAAGATTTCCAGAAAGCAGACCTGAAATAGGAGAATCAACCCAAGGGTAGTCATAATCCAAAAGTCCTACTCCAGCAATTACCCAGCTGGGTCTGTTTACCACCCTTTCCCTTTGATGGAAAACTGCACTTACACATCTTTGTACTCCTTGAGGACTCGGTTTGTATAAAATGTGGCAGCGTCATTCAGTTCTTTCACGTAGGGACCAGGCTTGGGAGCCTAGAGAGAGAGAAGCTGTCAGTGACTTAGAGCACCTCCAGTCAGCTTTCCTTACCTTTTTCAGTCCACCCACCCTTCCCTCCCCTGAAAGTTGCAATGCTCACCATAGCTACCCAACCCAGGGCTTGGATGCTTTCGCTGATAGCTGACAGGTGATTGAACAACTTGCTGCCTCGGTTCTTCTCCCGAAAAGTTATCACTTCTTGGATCTGCTCTGAGATGGGTGTCAACAATTCAGAAAGTTTATTCTAGGAAAAGACACAGGAAAGATTCTGGTTAGAGTCTTCTAATAAAAGCTCTGATATGCTAGTCAACTGTGATCTTGAAAGAATTCTTTAGGAATTAACAGTGCACACCCAAATAAAAACAAAGGCTTTACCTTTTCCCTCTCCTATAATCTGAATAGCCCTCAATGCAATGCTAGTCATGGAGCAACTGCTGAGTAGAAGAGACCTGTTGAATCAAGTGTCATGAGGAGGCTTGGCATTTGAGCAGGTACCAAAAGTCATCTAGATAAATTTTGTTATCTGTGTCTACAAAAAAATATGCTTTTATCATTTTCCCAAAGCTCAGTTTCCTGAACATCTCAATTCTCAGAGAAATGTAAGGAAAAAAAAAAAAAAAAATCTAAAGCGGAGATTGGCAAACTGTTTTTAAGGGCCAGATAATATATATTTCAGGCTGTGTGGCCCATTTAGCCTCTGTTGTAAGTATATGATAAGGCTGTGCGCCAATAAAATTTTACTCACAAAAACAAGATGTAGGCCAGATTTGGCTTGTTAACCTCCTGGTCTACTGCAAAAAAAATGCAAGAGAGTCTCTGTTGCCTGATTAGCCTGGAAAGTGTGGATTTGGAGAAAAGTTTTACATTATTTTGCACTAATTTTACATTCTTTAAGCATGCCAAAGAACCAAAGGTTTTAATACAGCATTAGTCTGATGACTTGTTTTATTACTAGTCCATTTGCTTGGGAAATGCAAATGCAAAACCAAATGAAAAATCAAAATTAAAACCTTCGGCTTGGAGAAAAAATTTCTTTCACTCAACTTTTTACCCAGTTTACAACATAACATTTTGAGATATAAGTAAAGGTGATGGGAAATACCCTAACAGAGGGACTAGGAGAGAAGCAGATCTTCCAGAGCCACCCGACTAACAACAGAATCACCTCTTTATGACCCAAATGCCCTAAGGCATGATATGATGAATTTGGGTCCAAGGGCCCAAGAAGCTGTAAGAGGCTATGCTTTAGATAAGCAGCAAAGTCTAAGGGTCAACACTGTTCTAAAAGCAAAATAATATGGGGAAAAAAAGCCAGTGGACACACCAATAAATATACCCACTCCTCACTTACTGACATAGCTAAGCGCTCCAAAGATCAATTCAAGTAAAAATGATGATGAGCACATCCGATCACAAAATGAAGACTAACTACGTAACTGCCAAACTACTGAGGGAATGGCCAAGGCAAGCTGACAGGTAACCTCAACCATCATAGGCAGCATTACTCTTGCCTAGCACACTGGTGTTTGTTCCTGCCACACGTATGTTTGTCAATGGGCAAATCAGATTTAAAAAAAAAATTTAACTATTTCCGGAAGAGCGAAATGCTGGCTACTGAGATTGTCAATCAGTGAGGAGGAGATGCATGTAGTGGCCCATCCTCATAATGGTGCTTTACGTCTGACTCAATGCTGGGGCTTGGTGTAAATGTATATATCATGAAACTGATAGGTCTATTTAGCATGTGATAGTACAGCAGAAACCTCTCATCTTGTCCTGAGTATCAAACTACTAAACCAACTAGTAGTGAACTTACGCTTGTTGGTTGCTGGCACTGAGAGGCTGTAACCAGGAGAGCTCGTTCCAACTTCAGACCTGTGTGGACCATCTCTGCCTGCCAGAAAAGAGAAGAATGAGCAAACAGCTGCACATTACAGCTAGAGAGGTCCTGGTAAGAATAACCTGAAACCTCCACTTCCATGTACTCGAGTAGTAACCCAGGCACTTGATGTTGTTTTCCTCATGTATCCCAGATTCCAGAGACAGCTGAATAACATAGACCACTGTTCCTGTTGGAACCAGTCAGGGATACATACCCAGAGTTGTAAATGAAGATAATCAGGGGCAGCATTAGGTGACATCAAGTTAGCAATTACACATGCAGTGTGACATAAAGTGTACTGAAAATCCAACGTACCTTGCAGCACCAAAACACTGCCCCAACCACCCCCTTTCCCCCAAAAAAACTAGAGGTTAAAGTAAAAGTATCAGTCTAAATTTATGCCCCAAATTCTAAAGGTATTTACTCTTTAAGGTATTTTCTCAATGCTGGATCATGACCCATTACTAAATCTGCTGCTGTCTAGATGATTCCAACTCATAGCAACCCGATAGAACAAAACAGAAGTGCCTCATAGGGCTTCCAAGGCTGTAACCTTTATGAAAGCAAATTATCATCTTTTTTCCATAGAGCAGCTGGTGGGTTTGAACCGCTGACCTTCTGGTTAGTAGCTGAGTGTTTTAACCACTGGACCACCAGAGCTCCTCTAGCAGGATATAAAATTATTCTGGTGAGTCATAACCAGCACTTTATTATGTGAAGCAGAACAGAATAAAAACCTAAGAGCAATGTGCATCAATTTGAAATTATTCCCACATAAAAAGTAAAAATATAAAAGACTACAATCAAACGGTGTAAGTATTGTGTTGTGAAATTTTAAACTCAGTTATAAGTTTAGTATGTGTTTCTTATTGAGGGTCATGGTCAAAAGGATGTAAGAAACACGAGGTCATAAGCACTATCAAAACATAAAATTTCAGAGAAGGTAATCTACTTTTTCTGGATTGATGCTTTTGAAATGCAAAGGTGATACATGTTTAAAATGGTTTCAAGTGTTATAGAACCGGATAAAGGATAGGAATGCCCCTGCATTCCTGTCTAAGTCACAGCTCCACTGCCAACAGATGGTATCTAAAAGGTTCAAAATAGATCTGTCAAAGACCAAGTGATGAATCTTACTGAAGGATGAAGAAGAGCCTAACCATGGTTACTGCTAACAGAGGGTCACTCAGTGGAGGAACAGGAAGATTCTGAGTCCTTAAGAGAGAGACGGAGTGTACATGTGAGTGTGGGGTGTTGGCAGTGACAACGTAGGAGGCAGCATATGAACGAAGGTGGGTGGAGAGACACCTGTCATTGCCTGCTTCCTAGTCTTACTGTGGGCTAAGTGTGAAAATAACCCATATTAGCATAACTAATAACTATCAAGCACAGTTTTATAAATGCGAAGTCATGATAATAACTCTCTTGAATAAGCCACCCTAGGCTTGGTTACATAACTATATTTGGATCAGCCTGGCAGCATGTTCTCTCACTGTAAAGATGAACAGAGCTATCTTTCATGTACCAAGCAAGCTTTCTGTATAAAAGCTGCCTACACAGACTGGAAAAAGATGAGGAATCATTCCAGTGATTCTGGAAGCTCTAGCCAGGAGACTCTCAAGAGGCTCTTAAACCAAGGACAAGCAAGAGCTAAAGAAAGCCACCAGTCCTTAAAAATGGTAGGGACAACACAGGGACAGGCAAACATCCTTACATGTTTCTGCACATCTCCTCCAATCTCTTTACTGATCTTCAGGTACTCTGCCACTGGACCGGCAAGCAACGAGTCAAATGCCTGTACATGTGGAGCTACTCCTGCTGAAGACATACATACATGCCACAAAGAATCAGTCATGCATTGGAAAGATAGTTCTTTAAAATGTACTTCCATATGAAAGTGGGGAGCAAAGTAATACCAAAGATACAATACTGGAACATTCTAGTTCCAATACCACCAACTAGTTATATGATCCTGATTAAGTCCCCTTTCCTTTCTGTGTCTAATTTTCTTCATCTACAAACTGAAAATAGACAAAAGAATCCTCTAAGGTTTCTTTTACTCTGAACTTCTATGATTTAATTGATGCATGTACAAAATGATCAATTTGCCTATCATTTAAAGAGAGGAAAGTCTAAAATAACTGGTCATTTGACTTACACTGGAGTCATTTTGCTAAAGAAAGAACAGGAAATGTAACACAAGCAGGAAGTTCTTGTGTTAAAATAACTTAACCACAGGCCTCCTTGCACAAGTCACTTCCCTTCTTATCTGTTCACAGCAATATGAACTGGAGGAGATGAACTTCCTTGATTGTTTTAGGAAGTTAGCTCCAAAGGACAAAACTCAGTGCAACAGAAAAATTTAAGCCAAGACACTGAAGTCTTCAGCCAAACAAAGTATTCTGCTGGGTATATAAGTATATTGCTTACCTTTTGAAGAACTGTCTCCATGTCCACGGTGCATGTCGGAGACTTGGGATACAGCCTCCAAGCGGCCCACTGCTTTCTCCAATCTTTCTACAAGATTTTGCATATTAGCCATAATGTACCACCTGCTGAAACAGATTATGTGTCACTTATTTTAATAGTACATAATACCTATGGAGAAGACAAAATACTCCTGGGGATGGGGTGGGATGAACATATGGGTGAACGTGTATCAATTTTGAGAAACAGAGCCATTTTAATAATAAAATAAGATGGAAAAATAGTCTGACATACTTGCAAAATCACAAAGGCCTCATTAAGCAAGGGAAATTAACCCAGGGAAAGGTGTTCACTACAAACAAATGCTTCCTCATTCAAATATTTAGAGCACTTACTATGATAACACCAAATATTTGTATAGGAAGTTAGAACTTAAAAAGGGTAGTCACACATCCTTTCTCTGAATCTTCCAAAAACTTTTCATAAATGGAGGGATAATTGGTACATTCTTAGAGATAAGAAATTGAATTTCAGTGAAGTTAAATGACTTGCCTAAAGTTACATAGCTAGTAACAGGGAAGCCAATACACGATTTCAAGTTTCCCACCTCAGTGTGTTGGGGTTCCCTGCCCCACAACATCCTGCCTGCTGCCTGCATACAAAATGTCCCAAACCAAGATGTGTAAGATGTCTACCCTGCCTTCAATAACTTACACTCTGTGGGGAAGACTTGTCATGTGCACTAACAGCTATAAAGCAAAAGTTTTTTTTAAAAAAGGTTTTTACAAGTGGCAAGACAAGTAATAGATGAATGGCATGAGATTTTGGAGGGGGGGGAAGCATATTATCAGCTGGAACGATCAGATAGGTGTATCACGGAGAAGCTGCCATTTGAGCCAGGGTTAACATGATGGGTAGGATTTAGACATGCAGTAGGGATGGAGAGCTGTTGTTGTTAAGTGCCGTCAAGTCAGTTCTGACCCATAGCGACCTTGTATAGGGTTTCCAAGGAGCAGTTGGTGAGCTTGAACCACGGACCTTGCAGTTCCAACTTTGCAGTCTGACTCAGTAGCCCACAGCACCACACTAGGACTCTGATTTACATATGAGAGGACTTCAAAAAGTTCATGAAAAAATTCCATTATTTCTCCAGGAACTTAAGCTCCCTCATTCTGTGTTTAAGAACCTACGTGATCTCATAAAAGTCAAGTGATAGTTCAATCAAAGCCTTGACTTGGGAGAGATTCTATTTCATCAAAGCATTAATTAGGTCGGGTAACTGAAGCTGATTGAACTTAACTCCCTTGAAGTTGCCTAGAATGACCACAGCAATTATGATTCCTCCAAAGATCACAATGTGCCAGAATATCGCAACTCAACACATTGTCCTCCCTGTGGAAGAGATAAGCAGCTCACTTAGATAATGTAAGGAAGACAATGTAATCCCTGTCCATTCTTTTCTGTATATAAACTCTGCTCTCTCTGAACCCAATGACTTGCCAGATAATTTTGCTTAAAAGAGAACTAAAGAATAAAAATGAGAATGCGACCTAAAAACACCTTTATATCTCCTAGCCTGGAGAAGTAAGAGAAAGCTCCAAATGTCTCCTCTGTTCACAAATATACTCTCCTTTATGTTATACCATCATCACCCAAGTGTGAGTTGCTGTCCTGTTTCATTCTGGGGGTTGACCAAAATAACGAAACCAAACCACTGCTGTCAAGTCAGTTCCAACAGAACAGGGTAGAAATGTCCCAGAGGGTTTCCAAAGTTGTAATCTTTCCGGAAGCAGACTGCCCTATCTTTCTCCCACAGAGCATTTGGTGGATTTGAACTAACACCTTCCGGTTAGCAGGTGAGTGCTTAACCATGCTCTACCAGGACTCAAATATAACTCATCACATTAAATACCAGAGACAAAAGGCAGCAAATACAATACACGCCAAAGCTACTTTCCATTAGTAGATACAATCTCAACTCTGTTATAAAACATGTTCCTCCATATAAAACAGATGTTCTAAGTTGAGGTCAGTACAAGTATCCCTAAAGACTGCCAGGGTTGGCAAAAACTTATGATCTTAAAAGTCTAAAAATGAGATTTTAGTTTCCTTTTTCCATTATTCCCTTTGTATTTGTATCTTTTCACTGCAAAACATGCTACAGTTCTGCTAATTTAAACAGAATGAAAAGACTACACAGTTATGTATAGCTAACTTCTTCCTACTACTAACCAAACCTAAGTTTGGGGTTGTTTTTTGTTTTTTTTTTGGTAGGGATGGGGTGAGGTTTGAGATAGTGTCTGAAAGAATATTCAGAACTGAAGCTACTGAGTAATACACCTTTTCATTCTACACACATACACACTTGGCCAGGGCCATAATTAATTAAGGAATTAAAATAAATAAGGACATATTAATTGAGGAATTAATATAAATAAATAAGACATGGGGAAACCTGTGCATGAAGAATTCATTGTCTTTGCAAAGCAACAATGAAATACTTTCTTTTCTTTTTCTTTTTTTCTTTCTTTCTCTCTTTGGATGGCAGAGCCACAAAGAGTTATTTTATTATTTTTATGCACAGACCCCTAGTTGAA